TAATGTTTGATTTTTTTGGTTTGGTTGTTTCTAAAATTTGCAATACGGACACATGTGGTAGTGTAACGCCCGCAGATCCGGGCTAGTCAATTTAGAGACGATGAGCATTAAAAATGAGTTTTTGATGGAAGGTTATTTAGAAGGATTAATCTTAACCAAGTTTTAGTATATGTTACAAGGGTTCCGTGCATATAAAGAACGCCGAAATCCGAGTTATAACGAAGAAGTTATGGCCCGTCGAAGTTTTTCGGCAAAACCGGCACGGCACCGGGAAACGTAAATAGTGAATTTACGATAGAGCGACTTTTAGCCTTAGTGATCTAAACGAAAGTCGTAGAATATGTTAAACCGATAACATCCATAAAAAGAACACCCTAATCTGACTTCGTATGAGGAAGTTATGATTTTTTTAAGATTTGGCATAGCAGTCCATGGCCCGAAAGTCGAATTTTAGTTCGAGCGGTTTTTGGCCTACGCGACCTAAATGAGAGTTGAAGATCTCATTAATAGGAACTCAACGGTAAAAAGACAGACGAAAACGGAGTCCGTATGTAGAAGTTATGAATTTTACGCGGACATTTAACAGTATAATCTCCTCCTACTGTTAAATTTAAGATCGGTCGAGAACTAGCCGACGGAGTAAAAATAAAAGTTGTAGATTTTATTTTTAGCTACGCGTGGATATAAATAACGTCAAAAATGAAGCTCGTATGCGAAAGTTATGGACGAAACTTAGTCTCTAATTTGCGAGCGCGGCGAATTCGATACAGTTTTGTAAATCCGAGATAGAATGAGAATTAGCCAACGGGGTCTAAATGAAAGTTGTAGTAATCGTAAATACCAAAGCATGGATATAAATATTGTCGGAAACGGAACTCGTATGCAAAAGATATGGACGAAGCTTAGTCGCTACTCTTCGTGCGCGATAAATACGATACAATTTTTGTAAATATGAGATAGAAGGAGAATTAGCCGACGGGGTCTAAATGAAAGTTGTAGTACTCGTAAATACCAACGTGTGGATATAAATAACGTAGAAAACGGAGCTCGTACGCGGAAGATACAGACGAAGCTTAGAGACTACTCTACGATAAAATCCCTATAAATAAAGGATGAATCCTTCATATTTTCTTCACACCATAACCTCTCTTTCTCTCTCTAACTTCTCTCTAGCCTCCCTAAACCCCTCCCAAGCCTAGGGAACCTCCCTAGCACGAGAAGGAAGCCACGGAGCGCCCGACGGCTCCGAGAAGAAAAGCTTTCGGCTCGGAAACGCTGCTCTAGCGAAGCCCGGTTTTTAATAAAAACCCGCTGTAAGTGAGCTACGCCTATACTATATTTAATATAGATTTTATTTAAATATAATAATGTTATTAGGACCTTATAATAATTATTTGGACTATTATTACGGGTTATATAAGTGTCGTTATAATATCTTTTTAACCACTCGCGGTACGGGGAATCTGGTTTGGAGGGCCGCTTAGGTTGCTGGATTCAGAAGTGCTATATGCCAAAATGATCCTGCCCTCCGGTGTTCCATGTCTGGCCCCTGTCTGAACATAGTGGGTGAAGAGTATTGTTTAACGCTTATATAATAGTAATAATAGCTAGACTATTAATTAGTCTCAGTGAATATTAGACTAAACTCTAGTGGTAATGATACTAGGTTTTGTCAAAGGAAAATTGTTTTAGGAGTAACGAAGCGCTGTCCGAGTACCGAGTCACCACCTTATCAGGTGAGTGCATAGTTACTTTCATCTTACACATAGATATGAAGTATTTAATATAAGTTACATGCTATGTGTGCATATTGTCTGTATACTTACCGTCTATGCTGGGTGAAAGATTTTTATATATGTTTTAAATGATTTAAACAATATATGTATTTTATATCTACAAAATGTGTTGGGTAAAACATGGGTAGATGAAATAGTTTTTGTGTGACAAAAACAAAATGATGAGAGGTGATATAGACCATGAGATAAGGGTGAGAGGTAAACCATGAGAGAAGCCTTGTACCCATGTGTTGGCCCTGTCATTCAGCAGAGTATGGATGACAACCACAGACTATTCTAGACAGTCCAGTGGACACTAGCAGGCTCGCAACCTGTAGGTGTTTTGAACTGTGTATTCACCAGCTGTACTCTAAAAACCCATTGACATGTATTGCGAGGGGATTCTCGGAAATGATACTGTCGATAAACGAGATAAAAACCCATTGACATGTATTGCGAGTGGATTCTCGGAAACGATACTGTTGATAAACGAGATAACCCTGGCAGCTATGGATTTAGTGCCTGATGAGCAAACCCTGGCAACTATGGATTTAGTGCCTGTTGAGTAAATCCTGATAACGATGGATTTCGTGCCTATTCCTTAGGATAATCCTTAGGAAAGAATGAACGAGGAATAGTTAATTCTTAGGGTAAATCCTTAAGAGTAAAGAAGATAGTGGGGATGGGTAATTGGGTTCATTGTTTGGTGATTAAACATAATAATTATATTATTGTGGGTTGAAAACCCTATGTACTCACCAGGTTTCCCAACATGACCCACTACAGCTTATTTCTGTCACAGGTGTCGATATGAAGCTACTTTACACTGAGAGATTTAAAAGAGATTTAAAAGAGATGTAGATCACTAGTGTAAATGAATGTAAGTTCTGTTTATGCTTATGTTTCTGTATTGACGATGACATCCCAAATGTTTTGAAAATGAATAAAAATACATTTCTTCGTAAATGCTTTGATAACGTATTTATCATGTTTTTCCGGGAACAAATTCCGCAACACATTTCTTCAAAAGGGTACTCTGATTTTTATAAAGCATAAACAAAATCGATCTTTTCTGGCCGTAAAAATGGAGATGTCACAGGTGGGTTCCAGAGGTGAAGGGTGGTGGTTGCCGGAGGCAAAATGAGTGGTGGTTGTTGGGGGTAAAAACGGTGGTCGTTGGTTCCTTTAAAAAGAGGGTGGTGGTGGTAGTGGATCCCACTTATTAAAATTTACTTAATTTATTTTTTGTATTTAATAAATAATAATCAAATTAAAAAAGCTAAAAGGTATAAGGGCAATATGGTCTTTTCATGTCTGCAAGAGACCAAACATGCAACAAAATCAAAACCTAGGAACATCCGAGTGCAAAAAAAATGTTAGAGACGACTTTAGTAATTTATTCTAATCGTTTTTAAATATGTCCATTTGACCCTTTATATAAATCCGGAAAAAGAAATAATATTACACAAGGACAAAATTTGTAATTTTATTGTCAAAATATATAGATGAAATTTCACCCAATTTATGAAAACAAATAGATTTAATGGGAAAAAATTAAGAGCTTCTAAATAATGATTAATTTTATAAAAGTCTCAAAGTTTTCATTGTTTTTCTAGTTTAAAACAAAAAAGTTTTTGATAATTAAAGCCAAATATTTTGGCAAATTTTTTTCATTTTATTAGGTTAACCAATTTGTAGGTGAACTTGGTAATATAAAAGTTTTTCTTTTTATAAAAACCCCACATTCCCTAAAATTTACAGAATTACCAAATGGTTGAGAAAACATTTATCATCTAATGGGTTTTTGGTGCTTTGTTGATCTCGTGGTTATCTCATGCGAAGAAAATACAACATTGTTTCATGATTGTTCGAAGGTGTTGCATAGCAAGGGATTTGAGAGAAACTTAAATCATTGTCAAGTGGTGGATAAAGATTGAATGTTGATCGAATGTATTTAGGGATAATGTTGGGTTTTATTCAAAAATAATCTATGATAAATTATGAGTTTAACAACGGAAGCATTAAAATTTGAATAATATTAAAACCATTTTATACCTACCAATAATCATTTTGCAAGACATGCAAAGATTAAAACAACCATAGAAAGAAAAAGAACGACAACATTTGAAGACTTTTATTCTTATAAGAGATTAGAAGTTGATGAAGATGACAAATACTTCAAAGTAGAAACTCTATACAGGTCAGGCCCAATACATGCACGACTTGGGCTCAGGTCCAGGACAACAAATTATCGAGGGCGTCAAAATAGTCTATATATATATATATATATATATATATATATATATATATATATATATATATACTAGTGAATTTTAAAGGACCGTGCGGAGCACGGCCCACGAAAGGTAATTTTGTAATTTTAAGAACAATGTGTGATGAACGATCTTAAAAGGTTTGAAGCGAGTTAAGTTTTGTTGATTTAGACGTGTGGGAACGGTTTTATTCTTTTTTTTTAGTAATGTGGTATCTTTAATGTTTAAAAAAACTTGCAATAGCTTCGCCACAGTGCTTTCATAAATTCAATGATTGTTTGGTGATAAAACTGTTAATTTAAATGATCTTATTAAAAGATTAGTTGGTATCTGTAATGAAACTTTCTTTTGTAAGCATGGAATATTGGGTATTTTATGGTTTTCGTATTAAATTGTAAATTTCATTTAATATAAAGTTATATTAGTTTGTATAAGAATGAGATGATGATGATGTGTATTTTACTTATGTACGCTTTTATTTTTTAATTATTAAATTAAAATTTCCTAAAATATAGAATAAACCAAGTAAAATGTGAAAAGGAAAAATAAGATTTTAGTTGGTTAAAGGTATATATACATGTTGTTTATAAAATCAGATGAAATAGAAAAGTAACATTTAAAATGCATATAACTCGAAAATGGTATGTAGCTAATATCTACAGAAAGTATTTTGTATGGTAATCATTTATACATATATAAGGTAACCGATTCATTAGAAACTTGTATTTACATACAATGCAGACTATGAGAAGCTGCTATCAAAAGTAATGGCCTATATACAACAAAAGAAGCTACGCCATTAACTATGGTTACTTAATATTTACATTGTTACGTACCCAAAAAACTTGTTTACTATCTTAGTTACCCAAAAAACATGTATTTAACCATTAAAAACTACCTTTAACTATTTTTTATGCAGCCTACCTTCAACCATTCTTTCCCAAACTATTAACTATTTTGACTTTTTTTTCGGCCTTTTATCACGAGCTTCATGATTGTGTTCCGTCTTTGTAGGAAGTGGTGTGGTTTCACTTTTGGAGCAGGAAGTTGAAGTAACGTCTGGAAGATGTGTTGTTGGTGCTGATATTGTGCTGTCAACAGAAATGGCAGGTTGTTTGTTTAAAGTAGGTGATGGAGACTTGGGTAAAACGATTGCGATATTTGGGTTTTCATCTCCTTTGTATACTTTTACAATGCTAACTTTCGTTTCTTTCATTCCACGGAAACGTACATCATACAAACGAACAAAGGCTACAACTTTTGACAATTCCAATGCAGCTGCAATGTCACTGTGAATGTCCATACTCTGTCACATGTTATAATGGTTATGCAATGTCTTTATAGCAAATAATTATTACAAATTTGAAGATAATAGCTACTTATACTTACAATTTTTTCATTGATTTTCACTTCTTCTGGATTGAAAAGTACAAATTTTCACTTTCATTGGCTTCAATACTTCCACTTTCATCAGTAATTAACAGTTGCTCGTATCCTAAAATTAAAGTGTTTGTATGAGAAATAGATTTATATTAATAACTATGAGAAGTAGTAAGGAAAGGGAATTTACATTGCCTCGATGTTTGATACGACTTTACAAGAAGGACACATGACAACCCATGTGGTGTCGGCTTCTAAAGCTTTATGACAATTCGAACATCCTGTATACGAGAATATTCTTCCTTTTGCAGAAAGTCCAAGTCTCCCTTTAATCCAAACGGTCTTGAACTGTTATTAAAGATGAAGTTACTATGGAAGTACAACATTTACATGTACCTTTTGTCCAATATAACAGTAAATTATGCATTTAAGTGTAGTAAGTTACAATGTTTGGAGAAGCAGTCACGACCCAATGGAAAGTATAACATCATCAGGAGGATATGGGAGTAGCAGTTCAGTATTTTTATGGTTTTCCATACGTAGTAACTCATCAATTCCGGTTCTGTTGTCCAGGTACCTGTTCATTAGTAATATATAAACGCACATATGATAATATGGAAATTATATACTTAGATTAAAAATTCAAAAGTATTTATATATATATACATGTTTAGAACTTTCGTAATTGCAAGTCCTCAGAAACAGGTGGATTGATCATGAATGGAGTGTTTGGTATCGTTGCAAGTGAAATAGCTATAACATAAAGTCTTAATTTTAGACATTGTAAACTTATAAACGAATAGCTAAATAGGGGCTTGCATATATACCATATATATAGGTATATGATATATATTAAAAAAAGTTGCTTACAGTTGAAGGTTGTGACTTTTAGCCTTAAACCAAAAATCAGTGGTGGTTGTCTTATGGCTTCCAACATTCTCCCTTTGTGTTCATCAAATTCTTTCCACAATGTGACATGTAACAATATTTTTCTACAATAAACGTATGGAAATATAAAGTTCAATAATAAAGTAAAACTGAAAAATGAAAATAAGTTATATACTTATATTGCATACTCTTCATTGATAATGATAATATCACGTCTTGTTACAAGGTCAGCACCGTGTTCCTGACTCGGTAAACATTGTAAGACAATACCCCTAACGTCTACAATTGAAAAATTAATGAGGAAGTGTGCAAGTATAATTTATTCGGAAGGAGAAATTATCAAAATATTACATGTAACCTTACTTTGCAGATTTTCTGATTCAGCATAGGCATGTAGTCTGCTGAATTTTGTAAATTCCAACGACCAAGGTATAGTTATTGGAATACGTTCCAGTATTTCTTCCACAATAGTACTTTTGGTCAAAATCCATGAAAAAGATAGGAACCAACAGAAAACCTAGGATCATTTCGTATAACAGTAGTGCTGGAGATATTATACTTGTGGTATTGGATGAAGATGGTTGCATAGTGATCCAAATGATCACTAAAAATGAGCCCTGTCACTGTCATTCCTTCCTGATCCATCATCATAATTCTCTTGTATTCGCTATCGTCTTTGGTCATATGTTGTACGTGATAACATTCTAACCTACAATAATATTTGAAGTCAGAGATGTGCAATAATATATTTCAAGTTAGCAAAATTATCACAAACAAAGTTAGTTTACTAAAAAATGCCCCGTTACTGCCTAAAGTTCTTATAAATAAAAAAAACATGTATGGCAAAAAGTAAATCAAGGGCTACACCAGTCAATTTTGTTTGTGCTGGTGTCTGGCTTGCTAGCTGACTATACTGAATTGCCTTTTAGAAAAACATAGCATTTTTTTGATATAGAGTGACTATCAGGTGTGGAAATGCTTTGTAGGTGGCATAACAGTGTACTTTATGCCATATAAAATTTCTTCATCCTCGTTTTGTAAGCTGAAATATTCAGTGCCACTTAGCGGAAGTGTAATGCTCTTTGTGAATTGTAACCACATATATGGTTGAACGCTTCCATAAAAAGAGTAAGACTATAAAAAGAACTTCATCACCTAGTATTGAAATAAAGGGTTTTTTTTTGTTAACATAAAAATTACCTTATGGTCCTCACAGTTTCAAAGTCCCCGGCTATTGTTTTCCCTCCATCTGTAGCTGACTCAAACTTTTTAATCGTTGCTTTCTCTTTCTCCCAACAGGGAGCATATTGATCTACATGTTTTCAAGTTTTCGGTCTGGTGTTGACTCATCAACGTCCATCGGGTTAGCAACAATCAGAAAGGTAATTTGGTCCCTACCTGCGATTGGGAAAGAGAAATAGCAATTCGAAATTAGGTTTGTATACACAGAGAAGCTTGAAGGCAGATCTAATGATTAAAAATAGAGGCGGTGGAAAGTGCACGATCATGAGAATTTGAGAAACTGATACATGAAACAGGTAACTTTGGTTGAAAAAAAACAAGAATTACCTTTGAAATGTGTATTACGCAAATGAACTGCAAACATTTAATTTTGAAGTCTCCAGCATTGGCGTGAGGTCAGGATCAACAAGCAGGCAACTATAACAGAGAGATACCTACCTGCGATTAGGAAAGACAAATAGCAATTGAAAATTAGGTTTTGTATAGACAGAGAAGCTTCAAGGCAGATGTGATGATTGAAAATAGAGGCGGTGGAAAGTGCACGATCATGAGAATCTCACAAAGTCATATCAACAAATAAGCGATGCCGGCTCCCAGATATGATTTTTTAGAATCGTAGAAAAAGAAGAAGAAGAAATTATGTGGGTACCTGATTTAGGGCTTTTTCTCTTTGTAGTAGGATGGAGCAATTAAACCGGTACCCAATCGAGTTAGGTTGGTATTACCTCATTTTGGGCGAGTCGGCCGCAATCAAGGAGAGGTGTCAATTAAAGGAGATTCAAGAGTGGCAAGCAACATCGGAAGAAACGACACCGCCAACAAGGAAAACCCACCACCAAGTCTTCTTCATCATCCTGATGTCAGGCTGACCGGAAGCAAGCAGGATGGCATCTTTCAGCAGCCAAACGACGTCGTTTCTTCAATCCCAGTATTTGAAGCTGAAAAGAGTTGAAGCACGCAAACAGGGAAGTTTCTCATAAACGTGGACAGCTTAAGGGCGCAGAAAAGGGTTTCACATATATATATATATATATATATATATATATATATATATATATATATATATATATATATATATATATATATATATCAAGGGTGCCAAATCGCATCATCATGTCGTGTTTTCGTCTGACATGATACGATACAATAAGGTTTTATGTAACACGAACAGGACACGACACAATGTCATGTTTTTTTAACTAACACAAAAATGAACCAATTAAAAACGACAAACACGACATGACACAACAAAGATAACATAATATAAATTAGTTTATTTAATTTATATTTAATCATACATAGCACGACAAACGAATGCTAAATCGTGTCAATTTCCTGTCAAATTTTGAACACGAACACGACACAAACACGAATTTCAATTTCAGTTTTGCCTCAATTTAGTTTCGTGTCGTGGGAAAGAAAGTTGGGAAAAGTGTAAAAGTAAGAACGAATTTCTCTTTTTATCGTGTCGTGTATTTATCATCATTTGCCACCCCTACTATATATAATAATGGTCTCGAAACATAGCCCATAGTGATGATCTGTTTACCAAGGTCTTGAGAAAGAAAGTTGGGGAAGACACGCCAATTCCAAGTAATCATATATCTGCTCATAGAGAAGCCAAACGTCGTTCGTGCTTAGAATCTCGTTGGCATTGTTATCGATGGGAGAAATCACTGCCTACCTAGAATACGTCTCCTATAAATGAAAAGTAAGAGTGTATTTCTCTTTTGTTTCCTCCCAATCGATTATCGATATTACATAGCTCTTAAATCTCAATTTAGTAACTATCAGTCGACACTTATTCCGAAATAGTAGCGATTTATCTAATCTGGTTTGGTTTTCTCTAATCTGATACAACTAAAGGTGATTCTGAATTTCTGATTTTGTGATTCACTGATTTGGGTGTGATTCCTTTCTTGTTGGTTGTTTCAAAAATCGATATTGTTGTTTCAGAAATCATCAAATCATATCCAGGTAATTTTAAACTTGAAATTTGTTTTTATTTAGGTTTCTTAAGAAATATGATTTATTCTTATATATCTTGTTTCTACTCTAAGTCTTATTATCCGATTTCTCCATTGTTTCTGAAATCCAATGTGGGTGGTTTATGTACTGTTTTTTTTCCATGTTTGAGCTTCAAAATCGGATTTGTATCTTATTTCTCTACTGTTTCAGCAATCAGGTTTGTATATATTGTTTCAAAAATCAGATTTAAGATTTTGGTGACATTAATTTTGAAATATATTTGTGTTCACTGTTCAATATTTTATGTATAAATATTCTTTCTAATTTTATGTTATTGTTTATATGATGTGAAGATAAACATTTTTTCTGAATCTGAATATGATTGTAAAGGACTTGTTCCAAGGGAATCACATGAGTAAAAGAAAGTTGAAAGATTTGTTTGGCACACCCCATCACATATCATTGTTGGGGTAGTCCTTGGGATATTGGTGGCTTGTATTTGTTGTCAAGGTTGCTTTAAACCTTTGGTGTGATTTGAATTTTATGAAGGATTGTTTTGTTTGAGTTTTGGTGGATTGATTAATTGTGTATAAAACAAGACATAGGTTGTTATATTATAATCCCAAAAAACAGTTGCAAAGTAGAAGTTTGTTGTTAGTATCTTATTTTTGGGTTAAGGTCATAAAATAGCAACATATTTTTTTAGAACACCAACTCATTTGAATTTTTTTATAAACCCGATCCTCTAATTATCAAGTTTGATAATGATATCAATTTTATAGACTATGTAGTTAACTGATTGAAGAATACTAATCGGTTAATAATAGTAACAAAAAATTAAATATACTTATCAAGTTTGTAAAATAAAATATGTTTTTGTTGGGTTTTATACGCATCAAATACACTCTAAACTAGGTAGCAGAAAAATCGAAACTACGATATACCTAAGTGTAAATGCACCCTAGGATCTATGGTTTCATGTTAATTACATCTACCCTAGAAAACAAAAACATAAGGAAGAAAAACATACCTCTTATGTAGCCCTTGATCTCCATTCTTGAGATCTTGATCCTCCACGAAGTTGCTTGGATGAGAGGACCCAAACCAGAATCCCTATAATGGTATCATACCCAATAACACCAAAGAGTGGAATAAATATAAGTAGGAGAAGTGTCAATTTCACAAACCCTAAGAGGGTTAGAAATCGTCCCTAAGAGGGGGAGGAAGAAGGGTTGGCGAGACTTCAAGCCAAGGTGAAAGGAAGAATGAAATCCGTAAGGCCCTATTTATAGCCTATGATCCTTTCCTAGGTTTTGTACTCCTTCTCATGTGGGATGAAGAGGTAACCATGAAATTCACTCCTTCATGTGGGATGGAGTGATTTTCGACCAACCCTAATTCCATAAGGGTTCTGGAACAATCCTGATTAATCAGCTATCGATTAATGAATATTCAACCCTTTAATTAATTAAACTATTAATTAATTCCCAAAATGTTTTCCAATTAGTTTCTAAGTAATTATTAACCATAATACTTAATAAACCAATTTCTCATTTATTTATTATACTCAATTTTGGTCATAAGGGCATCCCAAAATGATCCTATTATTATTAGAAATATTACCAATAGTTAATGACATTGGACACTATTTCCAATAGTCTCCCACTTGGATAAGTCATCAACTATATGAGGTCCAATATTTCTTCAATAATCAACAGATACTTAGTCATCCAATGCAACTACCGAACCCTTGATCTAATCAAGATTCAACCCTTAGATAAGTGATCAACCATCCCTTCGTTCTATGATATTTGTATGAATCCAAGACATGGATAATGGTCAATCTCAGAATTCAAGATTATGTTTCCCGATAGAGATTTGTGACGACTGCATCTGACTACAAAATTGAACACATCAATTCCAGTCAGGGCTCGGCCAAGCACTTTAGATGTCATGTAACATCCCGATTCATAGGTATGAGATTTATTATTCAAAAGGAAAATTTCCCTTGGAACTCGGCGAGTTGATGGCCTCAACTCGACGTATTGAAAGGCTTTGGGTCGCGCATCTTTTTGGACCAACTCGACGAGTTGGCGGCTAATTGTGATACCCTAAATTTTAGGCTTTTCACCCTATATAACCTCCTTAAGTCCTTGAGGATGATCTTTTATCAGCCTCCAAAACCTATTATCGGCCTTGTGAACCCTAATCATCATTTCATCTCTTATTGTGAGCTAGTGTGGCATTTTGGAGCAAAAGAAGGAGAAGATTGAGAGAAGGAAGCAAGGATCTAGCAAGCAAAGCTCTTATCTTCAGTTTGGCACTCTTTTGGACCATTGTAAGTGTTCAAGATCCGATTTTTATCTATATATGTAGCTAGATCTTGAGTTTTGTCGCCTTTTCTCCTTATTCTTGGATGTTGCAATGGATGGACTTCATAAAGTTTGCAACTTTATGAATCTCCAGGTCAAGGTGACCTTATAAGTGGGTTAGATCTGGTATTTAGCCAAGCTTTGATGTCATGCATGGAGTTTAGGTCATATTTCCCCTTTTTGACCCATTTGGGTTCAAGACATGCATTGTACATGCATGTCTATAAAGCTCCAACCTTTGGGACGTTTTTTAGGCTAGAATCTCTTCTGGAAAAGTTGGGTTCCAGATCTCAAGGATTTTGTGCTTAATGGTTAAGCCTTTGAGTTTTCAAGCCTTGTGGAAGGGTTTTTGAGCATTTGGAGTAGCCCCAAAGGATAAAGTTGGAAATTTTATCCTTTTAGACACATTTGGAGTTCATATCTGAGCCTTAGAGTCCCTGGAATCGATGAATCATCTGAATGTGTTAAGTGGGGAAACTCGACGAGTTTCCCAGCCAACTCGGCGAGTTGGCTAGGGTTTTCCCCGACGTTCTGAGTACTGTAGAACTCGACGAGTTCAAGAGGTGCATTGGACGAGTTGGGTCAACATGGACTGTTGACCTTAATCGTTGACTTTGACTTTGACTATGGTTGACCAATCTTTTTAATATATTATGAGCATAATATATTAATTTATTAATTGAATATGATAACTTTTAAAGAATTAGAGACTAATTTATTAATTTATTATATGACTAATAAACTAATTAGAAATCAAAATAAATGATTTGTTAATATATTATGAGCATAATTAGAAATATTGTTATTTAATTAAGAATTAATCAAGAACTAACTAGAATTAATTTTGGAATTAATTGGATTAATTAAAAGTAGAAAGACTAAATGTGAAAATGTTTAAGATTTAAACATTGACCCATTCTAGAACCTCCCCTGGAGGGGGACGAATCCTAGAAGAGGTTCTAGGGTTTTCCTTGGCCATTAAGGAGCTTTGGATGCCTTAGGGAGGAAGTTAAGGGATTATGGTTATCTTGGAGATACCTGCCTTATCCAATACATTCCTATCACCTATATAAACCCCTTTTGGGTTTATTTTTGTTTTTCACCTCATACCAAGAAGAGAATTCCGAAAATTGTTCGTCTTCTACTCTTCTCCTCTCTCTCTCTCTCTCTATCTCTATCTCTTCAAGTTTCCTTCGTTGCTAGGGTTTGTGTATGAATCATTAGAGGCACGACACTTGTGGTGCTAGCTTCCAAACCAAAAAAGAAAGGATTTTTTTATTTACTACAACAATCAAAAAGGTATGTAATTTTTAACTTGTTTTTCAATTTTGAAAATACCTAGGGTTCATAGGTTTCTTGTTGTTCAATAGAATGTTACATCAATAGTGTTATAACATAAATCTAATAGGTTGCATGTATCCTTAAGTGTTAAGGATTTATCCGCTTTAATACATGTAAAACCCATCACTAAAGGACCAAGATAACTTGCATGGATAAAAGGAAAGGCAAAATATCATAACTTTCCTAATCCATGAGGTCAAAGAAGCATTCCAAACTGATCAAAAGTTGCTGGAGTCCACTCAACTCCAAGATCGACCATAAAAAGGACAAAAAGGGCCAAAACCCACAACTAAAGAGATCTAAAGAACTAAAGAGCAAGATATGAACTTTATACTCACACTAGTCCAAAAATAGAATGGCTTTGATGGATCCAAATTAAAACAACATTCCTTGCAACCAAAAGAACAATCTTGATCTTCAAGCTCCATCAATAATACCATTAAAAACATCCAAAGGAGAATAGAGGAGATAGGAGGAGCTCAAATATTGAAAGGGGGGCTTGGGTTGCTCTTAAGGAGTTCAAAGATTGATGTAGGCTAAGAAAATACCCTAAAACATGAATCATTCCATTTACATGAAAACCCTAAAAAAATTTAGTGGTCTTGGGCTACCCAGTGGTCACCTCGTGACAATTTAGTTGTCACCTCGTTACAACTCTCGCCTCGTGACAACATGTTTTTCATCTCGTGACACCGGCTTTTCACAGAATTCTACTCTACCTTCAAACAATCATAACTTTTTCATTTCAACTACTTTTTAGTGATCTTTATATGCACGCGAAAGTATTGACAAGCCCCACAACCCTATCTAATTACTTTTGAGTTTATATATGTCGAAATAAAACCATCATCCATGCAAGGAGCCCAAAATATTACTTTTCCTATTTTAACCTTTTTGCTTCAAAGCACAGTTCGAGGACTTTAATCAATTAACCAAAATTATCAAGATCTGATAGGGTCTAAACGATATTCCCTTGAATCCTAAGGCCTTTACATGATCGAATTACGGTCCACAATATTGAAATAAGAAACATGCTAAAACTTGATGTTATAGTTTTAGTTCATTTGTTTTTTGATTTTCCAAGTTGAGTGGAAACCAAATATAGAGCTATAGTAGTGGTGTTTTAAGCATCAAACAATGAATCGACATTTTCTTCACGAGACTCATGTAGAAGGAGCATGTTTTTTGGTTGAAAAAGACATGAACGGTTTTGTGTTAGTAAAAACATCCATTATGCTATGGTAGGAGGGTAGGAGTTTTCGGGTAATTTGCATCACAAGTTCCACCTCAGTAATTTCGGAGTTAACATCGGAGACAACATCGAAATGATTTTTGAGATTGTGACAATATTCAATAATAAATAAAACACCTTTCTTTGTAGTCCGAAATTGGTCTTGAAGTTGAAGCATTCTAGACATCTTGTTGTTGAGAAAAAAAATTCATGGAGATTGTCCCATAAATCCTTGGCGGTGTAATTATCATTGGAGATAATTTGAAGGAGATTCGGATCACATGGAGAATAGACCCAAGACTTGACCTGTGAATCAATGAACTCCTAATCTTCATCATCTTCAATAGTGCGTTAGGATTTTCCATTTATGTGACCAAGGACTTTAGCACCGTTGCAAATATCTTGAAAATATTTGCACCATAACTTATATTTGGAGCCATCTACTCTTAGCTTGAAATTAAATTGTTTGTAAACATTCGTGACTGCATAGACAAGTTGTTGAGCAGTAGGTGCGGTAGTAGATGAATGTGCAGTGCTAGTGGACATGATACCGGAAAATCAATAGACAATTGAAATAAAAAAGAAAAAAAGATCAATGCACTTACTCTGGGTTGAAGGATTGTAGCAACGTGTACTATACTACACCGTAGATCGAGAAGGAAGGCAAGAAGCGGAAATAGTAGTGTATGGATCGATGGCGGCGGCAATGTTTGTGCGTGACTGGCTTATGGGAGAAATAGGAATGTTGGTGGTAGCTTGGAGCACTACAAATAAAATGACATTTAGTGGCATACACTTTTAATGACAAATCTTTTTTATGCCACTATAACATGTTTTTCATTGGCATATTTTAAATTCCATTATAAAATTAATAGATTTAATGACACTTAATAATTTATGTCGCTAATATTAGTATTCATTAGTGGCATAAATATATTAAAAATGCCACTAAAAACTCTATATTTTTATGACATATATTTTTTTATATGGCACTAAAGTTTTATTATGTGTTTTACCAATTTGGTTTTGTGCCACTAAAAAAAGTTGAATCCCCCTTATTGCCCTCTACAAAATGAACAAAGTTTATTGCATATAGTTGTTATGTAAAATATGATGTTTCCCATTTCTTATACCCTAATTGATCGCATTTAACAGTTCACGTCATACATCCGGGTCGACGGCGAGTTTGCCAAGATCAAACAGTTGTTTCATTGGATCCTTATCCGAATTATGATCAACAAACTCGAAATCAAAATCAACAGGATGAGAATTAGAGTTCCTTATTGTATTATCTCTCTTCTATGAGCTCCTTTTGTTCGAATCTACTCAACGAGAACGGAGACGAGGATTTTATGGATCATGTATTCGCCGCCTCAAATCAGGAGCCGAAGTAAAGGCTCTTCAAGCGACAAAAGAAATATGAATATTATTAACATGATTTCCTTGACTTTCTAGACTATACGTCGCCGTCGTCAATGCCTATGAAGCAGGAAGGGCGAGAAATGTTGATTCATAACCAGGATCTTTCACATCCATCAACGTCTGTGATGCACGGTTACAATTCACCTAGATTTCCGAACTTCGATAGTTATAATTAGTTCAAATCTCATCAGGCAGAATAGCACCCCGGCTCGATATTTGTCCTCTTTTAACTGTTGAAAATGGTAAGCACTTCAACCTCATTGTTAATTTCATTCTTTTTTTTTCAACTTGCTATGGATTTATTATCTTAATAAGTTGATATATGTATTAGAAATTGACATTTACTAGGAAATTTTAGTCGACATGTGTGAACATAAACTCGCTCCCAATCTTCATTATGTGAAATCATTGTTTCTTGGTTGCTTATTTGAGTCATTGAAGAACGTCATTGCTTCAAAGCAGGATTTATGCAGGGGAGGTAGGAATCGGGGGGATTATGCTTCACAATTTAACCAATTACATGATGATATGATAACGACAACTACAATACACAAGTTAATGGGTCTATTGATGACTGGCGGAGGTCATGGTGGTGCTAGGGTGGTTCAGGAAGATCTGCCTATCGGTGAAACTGTTGAACATAAGGTTAGTTGAATCAAATCTTTCATTCCCCCATTTATGACATCCAAAGACTTAACTTTAAGTTTTCCTTCTTTCAGATAATCAGACGAGAATACATAGATTCATGGATAAATCCAAATGAAATGCTTCATTAAATGAGAGCCCTGCTGATTCAGAAGCTTTGAAGTGTGAAGTGTGAACGATAGAGCAACAATTACAAAAATTGAGGAAAAAGTACCAATTTATTTAAAAAGAAAAGGTTGCAGCAAGTAAGGCATATAGTGAAACAACAAGATCAATTAAAGCCATGGGGTCATAATGCTCAAGTCAAGGATTGTACTTTATAGTTTATGCCCTGTTGGCAAAAATCGTAATTTTGATGATAATTTTCAATAATCAGTTCTCACTTTCATGATTTATATATAAGTGGGTTCTCGTTTAATCTAGTTGTTAATGGAGACTGCTTATATTCAACCTCCTATTGATCAGTGTGAAGATTGTCTGATATTAGGCCTGCATTTGTATATACCCTTAAAACTTTGGAAACACCTTACGTATTGCCTCATTTATGCTTTTTCACACAAAAAAATCTTAGTTTAATTACAGGAAATAGAAACATACGTTTCACTAATTACGATTTCATTTTATACCAATATTAGCTTGCATCTACTTTTCCTTAGCCATAATGGGAACATACTTACTTTTTTTACCAATAAAAGCAACATAGTTAAATTTCTTACACATAAATAGCAACATACTTATATCTTTTTACCGGTAATAACAATTTGTAACCTATAATCGCAACGAAATATAAGTATGTTGCTTTTATTAGTAAAAACTAAAGTAATGTTGCTATGATTGGTAAAATATTGTAGTAAGTTACTATTATTAGATGCCACATAATCAAAATAATCAACTGGTATATAGTTAATAAATTGCTATAATCTTTAGGAAGTGTAGGAAGAAAAGTGTATGTTTTTTTTGCATATAATCATTTCTTGTATGTTTATATTTTTTGTGATATGAAATATTAATCTAATTTGGATCTTTAAAATCAAGCTATGCACATGGTGATTCCATATATGCCAATGCTTAGACTTTGATATGATGTTAGATTTACTTTAGTTTGGCAACATAAATAGAATAACCTTGAACATTAGGTTACTTTTTATTTGAACATTAGGTTACTTTTATTTAATATTTTTTAAATGAAAGATTTGATCAGAGGATATAATGGTCATTTTACCAATATAAACATCATTTTAGCCTGAACAATTTTCCATTTTTTCCCTTTCTTTGACAATACAACAAATGAGCCTACTTGTTTCTACCATCCTATATCATGTACACACATAGCACTAAACAACAATGTGATGTAGTTAAAAGAACACCAAATAAGCAATTGTAAATTGTATTTTGGACATTTGTAATAAATTTATAAAATTCCCTTTTTTTCTAAAATCATTTTCTGATTTTCATTTTTATATACATTTCAGGTACTCAATACACTGTGACATCCCCATTTTCACGGCCAGAAAAGACCGATTTTGTTTATTCTTTATAAAAATCAGAGTACCTCTTTTAATAAAAATGTTGCGGAATTTGTTCCCAGAAAAACATGTTAAATACATTATCAAAGCATTTTCCGAAGAAATGTATTTTTATTCATTTTTAAAACCTTGGGATGTCATCGTTAATACAAAAACATAAGCATAAACAGAACTTACATTCATTTACACTAGTGATCTACATCTCTTTTAAATCTCTCAGTGTAAGGTAGCTTCATATCGACACCTGTGATACAAATAAGCTTGAGTGGGTCAGGTTGGGAAACCTGGTGAGTACATAGGGTTTTCAACCCACAATAATATAATCATTATGTTTAATCATCAAACAATCAATCAACCCAATTACCCATCCCCATTATCTTATTTACTCTTAAGGATCTACCCTAAGAATCAGCTATTCATCGTTCATTCATTCCTAAGGATTATCCTAAGGAATCGGCACGAAGTCCATCGATGCCATGGTTTACTCAATAGGCACTAAGTCTCATAGTCGCCAGGGTTATTCTCTTTTATCGACAATATCGATTCCGAGACTCCTCTCACAACACATGTCAAGGGGTTTTTAGAGTACAACTGGTGAGCACACAGTTCAAAACACCTACAGGTTGCGAGCCTACTAGTGTCCACTGGACTGTCTAGAATAGTCCGTGGTTGTCATCCATACTCTGCTGAATGACGGGGCCAACACATGGGTAAAAGTCTTCTCTCATAGTTTACCTCTCACCCTTATCTCATGGTCTATATCACCTCTCATCATTTTGTTTTTGTCACACATCAACTATTTCATCTACCCATGTTTTACCCAACACATTTTGTAGATATAAAATACATATACAGTTTAAATCATTTAAAACATGTATAAAAATCTTTCACCCAGCACATACGGCAAGTATACAGACAATATGCACACATAGCACGTAATTTATATTAAATACTTCATATCTATGTGTAAGATGAAACAGACTATGCACTCACTTGATTAGGTGGTGACTCGGTACTCGGACAGCGCTTCGTTTACTTTAAAATAATTTCCTTCGACGAAACCTAGTATTATTACCACTAGATTTTAGTCTAATATTTCCCGTGACTAATTATTAGTCTTATTATTATTATTATTATTATTATTATTATTATTATATAAGCGTTTAAACAATATTTCCCAACCACTATGTTCAGACAGGGGCCAGACATAAAACACCGGAGGGCAGGACCATTTTGGCATATAGCACTTCTGATATCCAACAACCCTATGCGGCCCTTCAAACCAGATTCCCCGTACCGCGAATAGCTAAAAAGATATTATAACGACACTTATATAACCCATAATAATAGCTCAAATAATTATTATAAGGTCCTAATAACGTTACTATATTTAAATAAAAGCTATATTAAAAATTAGGTAGGTGTATCTTACCTACGAGGGGGTTTGGCTAGAAGCCGCGCTCTGCAGGGGCAGAACTTCCGAGCCGAAAGCTCTTCTTCTCGGAGCCGTCGAGCGCTCCGGGGCTTTCTTCTAGCACTAGGGGAGTTTTGGGAGGTTTAGAGAGAGAGAGTAGAGAGAGAAGTGTGGAGGTGTGAAGAAATGAGGGTAGAAGGGATTGTATTTATAGAGTAAAAATATGGCTAAAATTAGTGTCACATGTCACCATCTAGTGGCAAGCCTTGGGGAGAAAGCAATGCCCAAGATTGTGCCACGTCACCCCTTTTGCAGAAGCACCCTGCCGACTTCTAAACCCCGTAACTTTCGTATACGAGCTCCGTTTTCGACGTTCTTTATATTCACGTGTAGTTAAAAATAAGATCTACAACTTTCATTTTGACTCCGTCGGCTAATTCTCGACCGCTCTTAAAATTTAACAGTACGAGGAGATTATACTGTTAAATGTCCGCGTAAAATTCATAACTTCTACATACGGACTCCGTTTTCGTCTGTATTTTTACCGTTGAGTTCCTATTAATGAGATATTCAACTCTCATTTAGGTCGCGTAGGCCAAAAACCGCTCGAACTAAAATTCGAGTTTCGGGCCGTGCACTGTTATGCTAAATCTTATAAAATTCATAACTTCCTCATACGAAGTCAGATTTGGACGTTCTTTTTTTGTATGTTCTCGGTTTAACGTATACTACTAATTTTGTTTAGATAACTAAGGATAAAAATTATTCTACCGTAAATTCACTATTTACGTCTCCCGGTGCCGTGCCGGTTTTGCTGTAAAACTTCGACGGGCCATAACTTCTTCGTTATAACTCGGATTTCGGCGTTCTTTATATGTACGGAACCCTTGTAACATATACTAAAACTTGGTTAAGATTAATCCTTCTAAATAACCTTGCATCAAAAACTCATTTTTGATGCTCATCGTCTCTAAATTGACTAGCCCGGATCTGCGGGCATTACAATTATCTCCCCCCTTAGGATGATTACGTCCCGGAATCATCAACGAAACAGGGTTGTATAATGACTCCGTACGTTATCTCTTTATCCTAGGTAATAATTGTAACTTCTATTTTCCTTCGAATGAGTATCTAATTATTGGACTTCTCGACTGCAGGTGGTGCTTGATCTTGCACTTGTTCCCTATCTCACGTTACACTCTAAATTATGACCTTCAAGTCACAATCTCGATCCTCACTGGATACGAACTTAAGATAAGTTTTTTTATTACTACAATGGAACGTTGTGTCATTTTCTAATGACCCATCATCGTATGTTGCAACGCTTACACTCAGGTCTCTTAGAGTCAAATTCCATAATGGAATACTTTCCTTCATGTTCTAATGTGATATAATACATTTTAACATGTAGCATTTCTAGCTACTAGCTTCTTTAACAACGATCACGATACTTCTATTGATCGCTTTGATTATCTTTCACTTTAATCTTCTGGCTTAAGTCGGATGCTACATCAAACTTGGTTCTCTGAACCACGTAACAGACTCATCTTAGTCGGACTCGATATGATATGACCACTAGGGTCGGAATAACAACAATCTTCTTAGTCATTACCGAAACGATGGTAATGACATACATGAACAAAACGAAATCAATTACTAGCTCCTTGGTAACCTTGTGACTTTCCCTGATCCAAGCGTGAGTCTTGTGCTTCCGGTAGTATAGGCCTCTACTACCTTTCACACCTACTCATACTCGTCCCAAGTATTGTCTCGCAGTTCTCCAAGTCATTATCACAAAAACAATTTTAACACATACAAATGTGTCCAAACAACCATATAATTTTCCCTAGACTCTACTAGGACTTCTTCCATGCGTATCTTCAATCATCAACTCTGCTTCAACTCGGTTGGTGATGGAAATGTCAGACGATGGGATAACTTCATGGATTATACCAAAAATCTTTCTTTCTGCTAATCGAAAGTGTACTTCTCCCGTACTAGATATATTATTTCTTAGACGCGTTCTAAAGGCAAGACATCACTCTTACGATATCTTCCGATATGTACCATTCAATATCGTAAGCCTTCTCATTTCCTCCATTTACTCAATTCACTACGAGTCTTCACCATGATGTTCTACACACCAAAGCAGTTGTTTGGTGTATCGAGACGAGAATATAGATAGAGGAAG